AAAAAAAAAAAAAAAAAAAAAAAGAGTGACTGGCGTAACCAAGGCAGGGGAGCTTGTAGGACCCAGCACCTCTTAACCAGCTGCCTTTCTGGGGAGGCGGAGAGAGTACAGGATTGCCTGGTGCTGCCAGCGTTGGCGAAGTTAGGGAAGGAGCTCCCAGGCAGGGAAGCTGCTCCAGTCTGACCTGACTGTGTCCAAGGTGACTCATGCCCCCTGCCCAGGCCCAGCCAGGCCCCCAAACATGCAAATGGGGGACTGGGGCAGAACAGAAGCCATTTCAGCTGCAATGCTAGGGGCTGTGGAATAGAGACCAAGGGCCCTCAACCTCTCCAGCCCCGTGCACAAAATCCCAGGCATTCTGAGGACCCCTTGATCTCTTTCTGATTTTTCAGGGAACTGGCCTAGGTGGAAAAGCAACACACTCACTGGCCTCCTGTGTGACCTTGGCCCCTTCTTCACCCTCTCTGGGCCTCAGGGTTCCCTGTGCACAGTGACAGGGTGGAGAGGGGGTTGCCAGATGATCTACATGGAATTTTACAGACTCATTTCAGCCAAAATCCTGAGACATTATGAGTTTGCAGAGCCCCTCTCCCTACCTCCCAAGCCATTGGCAACATTTGGTGCCCTCTGTGTGCCCAAAGACCCACCTCACGCCCTGCAGATGCCAGTTCCGGGGGCTCTGCGCTGAGCACACCGCCTCAGCCTGAGCAGCTCAGTGTCGGCCCGTGGACTCATTCGCAGCTGCTGTCCCCAGAGACACTGCCATCTGCGGCCGCCCTGGATGCTGGAGGCAGAGATAGGGCAAGGCCAATGCCCCCCACAGGAGATGGAGCTTCTCACACCCGGGAACTCTGAGTGGGCCAGGAGGGGGCAGTCCTGGACTAGCTCAGCATCCTGGGACCTCTCCCTGCCCATCAGAGACCCTTCCCACTAGTCCCCACTCTCAGGATCGCAGGAGGTGGGACCTGTCTCAGCCAATCAGCAGCCTGGCAGAGCAACGGCTTTATCCTCCGTTGTCCTGGCAACCAGCCTTCTCTCTGGATCCCTGGTACTGTGCACGTGGTACAGCAGATGACAGGGCGGCAGGACGGGGGAATGTGGGGAGGACAAGTCATCCAGCAGGCTGCTGCACCCCAAGCCTAGTGGGCCTAGAGAGGAGAGGATCGTGGCTGATAACTCTAAGGGATTGAGCATTTGGGAGCAGGGAGAGACTGGGGTCCTTAGCAAGTGGGTAGGGACACAGAATTGTGACTAGCAGAGCAGAGCCAAGGGGATTATATGTTATAGAAAAAAGAACCAAGACCAAGACTGAGCGTTCAGACACATTGGCTCAAACATTTACTATGTCCCAGACACTGTTTTCAATGCTTTGATTATATTAACTCATTTGATTCTCATTCACTGATACATAGCAAGAAAGTAGCAATGCCAGGGTCAGAGCCCTAGCCTGGCTTCATGACCCTCCCAAGTAGCTGCCCCTCCCCATTCTGCCTCATCTACCCCACAGCACCCCCAGCTGGTGTGGAGCCAACATAGGCACTGAGCCCTCCCATCTGCCAGGCTAGCCCCAGACATCACTTCCTGCAGTACTCCCAGCTCAACTGGTGTTGAGACCCCATTTTGGGATGAGGCAGAGAGGTGAAGCTGCTGGCCTTCCCCTTCTCCCAGAGCCCTCAGCTTATCAGTGACTAAGCTGGAATTCAAAGCCAAGGGCTGACCTTGGGGGTGGGGTCCACCTCCCCAAGCATGGATCCCCCCTACCTGCCTGCGCCATAGACAAGGTATCTGCAATGTATTGAGGGCTATTGTCTCAGGAGGAGAGCGCAGCCCAAGGGCCCGTGGGGTGAGGCGGGGAAGAGGCTTCCAGGAGCCACCTCCCTCAGGAATCTGTTCCCAGAAACCTGGGGATTGGGAGTGGGGAAAGGCTTTGGGTGAGATGGCTTCAGGACCTGGGTCCCCCACCACAGACACCTCTGGGGAACATCTAGGGGCTCTTCAAATATGACAGGTCATTTCCAGCATATGTGGGGTAAGGGGGGTGATTGTGAGTTCAAAGAGGGTTTGTTTTGTTTTGTTTTTTGAGACAAGGTCTTGCTCTTTCACTCAGGCTGGAGCACAGTGGCGTGATCATGGCTCATTGCAGCCTCTGCCTCTTGGGCTCAGATGATACTCCCACTTCAGACTCCCGAGTAGCTAGGACCACAAATGCATGCCACTATGCCCAGCTGAGTTTTGTACTTTTTGTAGAGACAAGATTTTGCCAGGTTGCCCAAGCTGGTCTTGAACTCCTGGCCTCAAGCTAGCCTCCTGCCTCAGCCTCCCAAAGTACTGGGATTACAGACGTGAGCCACCACCTGGCCAAAGTGTTTTTAACATTTTGGGGTGGAAGAGCAGAGGAGCTGGGGGAAGAATTACAAAGGGGCTGGCCGGGCACCATGGCTCACACCTGTAATCCTAGCTTTTTTTTTTTTTTTGAGACTGAGTTTTGCTTATGTGCAATGGTGCAATCTCAGCTCACCACAACTTCCACCTCCTGGGTTCAAGCGATTCTCCGCCTCAGCCTCCCGATCCCAGCATTTTGGGAGGCTGAAGTGGGCGGATCATGAGGTCAAGAGATTGATACCATCCTGGCCAACATGGTGAAACCTCATCTATACTAAAAATACAAAAATTAGCTGGGCGTGGTGGTGTTGTGCCTGTAATCCCAGCTACTTGGGAGGCTGAGGCAGGAGAATCAGTTGAACCCCAGAGGCAGAGGTTGCAGTAAGCCAAGATCACACCACTGCACTCCAGCCTGGGCGACAGAGCAAGACTGCATCCCAAAAAAAAAAAAAAAGGGCCGGGCGCGGTGGCTCAAGCCTGTAATCCCAGCACTGTGGGAGGCCGAGGCGGGTGGATCACGAGGTCAAGAGATCGAGACCATCCTGGTCAACATGGTGAAACCCCGTCTCTACTAAAAATACAAAAAATCAGCTGGGCATGGTGGCGCGTGCCTGTAATCCCAGCTACTCAGGAGGCTGAGGCAGGAGAATTGCTTGAACCCAGGAGGCGGAGGTTGCGGTGAGCCGAGATCGTGCCATTGCACTCCAGCCTGGGTAACAAGAGCGAAACTCCGTCTCAGAAAAAACAACAACAAAAAAGGCAGGAGTAAAGTTTTTGGGATACGTTCAGTGTCTTAATGGTGATGGTGGCTTTTTAGGTATATACATGTGTCAAACTTATCAAATTGTATCCTTGAAATATGTGTAGTTGATTACATATGTCCCTTATACCTCAATCTGTAAAAAATGTGATCCGTGGCCTGTGGGTATTGTTTTAGCCACTGATTCCTTATTCAGACAAAAGCTTATGGGAAGCTCAATACATAATAGAGATAAAGCTGAGGTTGCTTCTGTTCAATGATGGGGTAGGGGTGGGGGTTCTGGACCCCATCCACTCAGAATCCCCCTGTCCCTCACAGGGCCCCAAGTTATCTCCCTAGGGCTCCACAGAAGCCGATTTTAAAAACACTGGCCCAGAGGACTCTGATGACCCTGCCAGCTTGGGTGTTTAGGGTATAAGAACCTTCAGGCCTCAGTCTGGTCTCCTGCCCATCGCTAACTTTCATCACATATGGATCCTACACACAGCTACTTTCTGTCTCACTGCTCATGTCTCAGCCAATGATCAGATCCTGGTGAAGTGGAGTACGGGCTCCCCAAGGACATAGCTCACCTTCCCCGGGGCTGCTGCTGCTCCTGATGGCCACTCTAACTGCGGTGCCTCGTTTGTTGTTACCACTGGTAACTCCCTGAAGCAAATGGCCCCTCTGGGACCAGGTCTCCAGGGCAGGCACTCAGCACATGCTGCCCGAATGGGTCTCAGCCCAGCGCCCCCTGGAAAGTCCGTACCAGAGTCCAAAGTCTTTTCCCAGCCCACCCTTCTCTAAGGGCCTCAGTCTCTGGGAGCTGAATCACCTCCATGACCTCACCTCCTCCCCTGTTCTCCTCACTTCATCTGCTACCGCCACCGGCCTCCTTGCTACACCTCGGAAGTGCCAGGAGTGCTTCCCACTCAGGGCTCTGCACATGTACTGCCTTCTTCCTAAGGCCTCTTCTTCATCATACCTAATGGGCTCCTCTCTCACTGAATTCAAGCATCTGCTCAAACGTCACCTTAGGGAGGCCTCCCTGACCTAAAGTAGCCTCCTTCCACCCATCACTTCCCCTGTCAGCTTTAGTTTATTATTATTATTATTATTATTATTATTATTTTGAGATGGGGTCTTGCTCTCTTGCCCAGGCTGGAGTGCAGTGGCATGATCTCGGCTCACTGCAACACAGGTTTAAGTAATTCTCCTGCCTCAGCCTCCCAAGTAGTTGGGATTACAGGTGCCCACCACCACGCCCAGCTAATTTGTTTGTTTGTTTGTTTTTTGGTTTTGAGACAGTTTCATTCTTGTTGCCAAGCCTGGAGTGCAGTGGTGAGATCTCAGCTCACTGCAACCTCTACCTCCCAGGTTCAAGTGATTCTCCTGCCTCAGCCTCCTGAGTAGCTGGGATTACAAGCATGTGCCACCACATCTGGCTAATTTTGTATTTTTAGTAGAGACAGTCGTTGGTCAGGCTGGTCTCAAACTCCTGACCTCAGGTGATCCACCTTCCTTGGGCTCCGAAAGTGCTAGGATTACAGGCGTGAGCCACCGTGCCGGCATTTTTTTTTTTTTTTTTTTTTTGAGATAGGGCCTCACTCCATCACCCAGGCTGGAGTGCAGTGGCATGGTCTAGGCTCACTGCAACTTTTACCTCTAGGGTTCAAGTGATTCTCCCACCTCAGCCTTCTGAGTAGCTGCACACCACCATGCTCAGCTAATTAAACAAATTTTTTTGTAGAGACAAGGTCTCACTATATTGCCTAGGCTGGCCTCAAACTCCTGGCCTCAAGTGATCCACCCACCTCAGCCTCCCAAGTGCTGAGTTACAGGCATGAGCCATCGTGCCCAGCTTGCTTTACTTTCTTGTCATAGTGCCTACAGCTAGTTAACTTTTTTTTTTTTTTTTTTTTTTGAGACGGAGTTTCGCTCTTGTTAACCCA